ATTATTATCTGCACTTTAATGATGAGGAAATACAGGCTCAGACCAGCTAAGTAGCACACGCCAGGAACAGAGCCAGTAAGTAGCAAAACCAAGTCTTTCATACTCTAAATCCCACACTTTCCAATCCATTTCTTATATTATCCTTCCAACATACACAAACACAAAACGCCCTGCCTATAGTAGTCATATGATAGGTACAGAGTGCTTAAATTACAGAAGAGTACAAAAACCATGATGTAGTTTTTAAAAACCGACATTAAAAAATAAAATATCCTTTTGGAGTCTAATTTTGCTTACTTTGTAGCTATCTTTAACAATGTGATATTAATGGTTCAATTTCTTTAAGTTGGGTTTTCAATACTCTGCAATGTTAGAATTTTCTTAGTTCAAAAAATTGACTTTCAATGTTGATTTACATTCAGATATTTGGTGAAATCCAGCCTTCCTGGAAAAGTGTTATATAAAACACTCTTGAAGAAGGGTGCACCCTACTGGCCTCTTGCTGTTCCTGGAAACTGTCCCTATGCCCCTGCGTGAAGGCCTTTGTAGTGGGCTGTTCCTTCTGCCTGGAACCTCTTCCCCTTGTCCTCACGGCTCTCTGCCTGGCTTCTTCAAGTCCTTGCTCAGATGTCACCTTCTCAACAAGGCCTGACATGGCCTGAGCACTTAATTTAAAATGGCCAAGCACCTCTCCAGCACGCCAAACTCCTTCATCCTATTCTAGATTTTCTTTTTCCATAATATGCATTACCTTTTAACATACATCATCATTACTTACTTACTTTGTCTTTTGCTCAGTATTGATTGCCCCACTAGAATGCAGGTTCTAGGAGAGAAGTGATTTTGCCCTTTGTGCTCACTGATGTATTTGAAGCTCCTAAAACATTGCCTAGCGCATAGGTGATTAGATATCTGCTGAATTAATAGGCACTACTTCCTACCTAGCTATGATTAAGTGTATGTGAAATGTAGATAAATCTTAATGACATATTCTTAAAATGTGACATAAAGTTAATATTTATGAATGTGTATTAAAAGGGCAAAACTTTTCTTCATGGGGTGATTGCTATATATTAAAATGTATTATCCTGGATAGCACATGTCTTCACAGTTTTAGATTAGGATATTTGCATAACATCCAAGGTACTCAAATTTGCCACAGATCTTTTTTTAGGTCTAAGTAGATTTGAGTCTATGAACAGAGGAGTAAAAGAGGATGGGAAGAACATAGTAACTTTTGTCCAATGCAAAACACTCAGAAAACCCACTCAGAATAGTGCTGAGTGGCTGGGAACACACAAATCCTGTTCCCACTCCCAGAAGCTGAGCCCAATGTCAGCTAGGAAAGTACCATGCAGCAGCCTGGGGATTCAAGGAAGGTGCCAAAAGTTCACAGTTGTAGTTGTTCGTGAAACAAGTCATAAAACAATGTTTCCTTTCTTTAAAGCTTCAGAGACAACCTATAGTCACAAACAACCTCCACTGTAATTTTTTTCCCCTCTAAGATTCAATGAAATTAGAAACTATTTGCCTTTATTCTTAAATTAAGATGGCTTTAGAGATTTACCATGTGGTCTTATCTGTGTCATTGCAAATACTGGATAGATGAGCATGGGTCTGAAGGAGTAAAGTCCATAAAGTCACTTTAGTCCTTAAGTGTTTCAGTGAGATCATGGGATACTTACTAAGTTCCTCTGCTACTTCATCAAGACAGATGTCATTATTCACAGCAGGGTTGGGATACTTAGGATAGCGTGCTAAGAACTTATGGCATAATAGTCCTAAACTTTTCTCTTTTCGACTTGGTTGGGATTTCTCATATTCATCTCCAGAAAAGTGTTCCTACAAAGGAAAAGGTAAACAATGTCTTATTCTGAAATAAAGCTTGACAGATTTATGAGGGGCATCTGTGTTTGATGACTAACAGCACCCATACACATGCTTAGCTTCAACAGCTGCAAAGCTTGGGGGCAAGAACTTGGGAGTCGGGGAGAACCAGTACAAACTGCTTGGCAAATCTGGAAGGGGAAGCCTGAAATAAAAATAACTATAAGGTTCAGAATTCCCAGTGCTAAATTTGATGGGGTCCAAACCTCCCTGGTGCTCTGAAGGAGGTTAATGACAGGCTTCGGATGGTGATGCTTTAAATTGCCCGCACTTCTGCAATAGCTACAACCCTCCAACAAATTCCCTCGTCTCCACCCAGTCCTCTGAAAACCTACATGTAAACAGTCTTTGGCCTCAGGTAATCCACTTCTGTTATCAAACAACCCCCTTTTCTGATCTCTGTTGCGGATCTCAGGGCTCACAGCACTGATGAGCATTTTTAGGTTGGCTGTTGGTGTCCACGGCTCTCCCTGGGAGACTTCCTTGGGCTTGGTGGGCGTGGTTAAAGGGCCAAAGTCAGGCTGGATCTCTGCCAACACTATATTTGCTGTAGTGCACTCTTTCAGAGGTGTTTTCATTAGTCCCCTTTTATGTGGCTCAAAAAAGAGATTTTCCTGGTTTAAAAAAAAGTAAAGAATTAAATCCATGGTAACACAGGTTTTATCAGATAGCTTTTGACTCTAGAAATTGTACAATGAATAGAATATTGCTGAGGAAAAAATTGCCTAATGAGATTGTAGACTTGATGAAGTTAATATCTATATTGCAATGATCACTTGACACTTACTGTCCATTCTAATAAATTTCCCATTTTTAATTTTGCAATGAAGCATGGTCCTACGTTTTCATCTTGTTTCAAGAATCTTTTAAAAAACTTTTAATTGAGACATAATTCTTAACTCTTATTTGAAATAATGTTAGGTACAGAGAAGAGTTGCCAAATAGTAGAGTTCCCATATACGCTTCACTCATCTTCCCGTAATAGGAGTGATAATTTTAAGTGATCTCAAACTCCTAGAAGCAACTTTTACTCAAGACACTGTCATAAGGAAAGAACTCCAGGGGCAGAAACTATCACATTATCCACCTAGCATGGCTGCATGCAATGGGTGCTCAAAAAAACACTATTGAGAGCCAAGCAGAGAAGGTTGAGGGCGAGCATATGGTCAGATTTATCCGGAAAATCCAGAGTACCCAAGAGCAGGACTTCTCACCAGAAAAGTCTGCTCTTTGAATATCCACCCCTCACTTTACAGATGGAGAAAATGGGGCCAAGAGAAGTAACATTAGCTACCCATGATCATAAAGCTAGATTCTGGTAAAAGCGAGACTGCCACTGAGACAAAAGGGTAAATTCATAGCAGTTCATAAATAAGATGAACGGAGACTTTGTTCCTTCCACTTTTGGAGACCTGGGATTCCACACATTACTCCTATCTGTATCTATTTTAAAGAAAATGCTTGGAATGGCATTAAGTAAAAGAATGAAGAGACCCACTAACTTTAGGAACATGGATTAATGAGATTATTTTACATGTCTGTGACATTTTGGTATTTATCAAGTGCTTTTCCATTTGTATTTGCATGGACTCCTATATTCCTATTTTCCAGAAGAGGACATGCAGGCTGAAAGAGGTGACACAGGACTAGAACTCAGATATTCTCCGAGAATGGTGCTCTATATATGGAAGTCAGTGTGATGGACCCAATAAGAGATCCTAGCCAGCGTGTGCACCTAAGAGGTGCTGATCCAAGAATGGGGTTTTTCTAAAGGCTGCTGTCCTTTGCCACAGACTGTTAGGAGCAATAGTAATTCTCTTGTTTGACTAACATCTGTAACTATTAGGAAATTTACATATAAGCTTATTTTTCTAACCTAACAATAGTTGAACACCCCCACTGATAATTCTATTGTATGTTTACATAATATTTACCTCATAAACAGGGTGTGTTGAGGCGCCCATAAGCCTAAAAAATGCTTACAATTTGATAGAAAAATTATCTTAAAACGAAATCCAATCTAGAATCATGTCCTGTGCCTTTCTGAATTCCTATTGTTCAACAATCCTCAGAAGTGTTGCAAAACGACAAACAAATTTCATTATTCTTAAACATACCTTTTCTCTCTGTTTATGTTTTTGAGACTCCACCAAAGCATTAAAAACCAGAAAGATTACTTTAACTCTAGGCAACCCTACCCCTCTTCAAAAATTAAATTTTCCTTCCTTCCAGGTTTTTACAGAGACTAACCAAAAAAGGATGTGACATTAATAAGATATATTGGATAATGAAAAATTATGGGGTTAAAACTGCAGTGATGAATATGGAAGTTAAAAAGTACCTTTTCGTTCTCCATTCTGTAAATTCCTCATACATTTAGAGTTTAAAAACGAAAAATCTGGAGTTCCTCCCCAAATCTCGGTGATTCAAGTAGTCTAATCAACTCTATTAAAAACTTTAATATCCTTAAAGAAAAAAAGGAAATAGGAAAAGTTAGAGAAAAATAAAAACCAAGAGATCCTCTGTTGAAAATTCCTTCACGGACACAGCAGGCCACAGAAACAAAGACTAATAACGAAAAATGACAAACTAGATTTGCATTTTATTCCCGACCTCTAGAGAGAGCCTCGCCGGGCAGAGAACTCCAACAAATGCCAGTAAGTTCTTCAGCAAACGGATCCGCTGTCATGAGACTTCAAGTAACCCACAGCCCTCCAGTGACAGCCCTCTCCCATCTTTAGAAAAGGAGGGCCATTCTCGGGGCCCCGCCAAATAGACGGTAGCAAGCACCCACCTGTCCACACATCAGGGCTCCGGACTGAGCGCACGAGCCCACGTTCCGGCCGAGCACACGCGACCCCCGTATCTGGATACAATTCAGGCATCTGCATCTAGATGCCTGAATTTCTCTCCCTACACACACGTGCACAGGCTCAGCAGTGAAGTCTTGGGAAGTTGCCTGCTATGAAATTTACAAATTCAGTCCCTAAAGCTCTAAGGTTGCTGCTGGGCATTTAAAGAGTGCCTCACGATGAAGACTTTTTTAAAAAAAGGCTTTCTTAAAGATGTAAAGCTCTAGGTGCTCGCTATTCGGGTGGTCGGTTCACCCCGCGATGTTGCGCTCCACCGTGGAAGGCTGCGTTTGTTCAAGGAGGCAACCAGGTACAGTCCCCGCGCCGCCACCCGCCCCGCGCCCTTCCCGCCCCGCCTGGCCAACCGCCCCTCCCCCAGGCCGGGACAGCCCGCCGCCCGCCCTGCAGTTCCTGGACAGCATCCTCGTGGTTTCCAGGACAACGATTCCCGGCCAATCAGAGAGCTGGCCACGGGCCCGCAATTGGTTGACGGAGCCAGGGGCGGGGCCGGACCTTCCGCCTTCGATTTAAAAATTTGGCGCGGAAAGCCGGACCGTGGCCGGCGCCGCCCCTAAGCAGCGCGGGGCTTGAGCGCGGGCAAACCCGCGCCCGGAACCACGGCATCCCCGCCCCTCCCCCTCGCTCGCCCCCGCCCCTCTGCGCGGGAGCTCGGCTCCTCCTCCTACGGCCCCCGGCGGAGCGGGAGGCGGGAAACGGCCGCCGCCGCCGCCGCCGCCACCTCCCGCCCGAACCCGCTCCCGGTGCCGCGCTGGCCCGGCGCCGCGTCCCTCTGCGTCCCGCTGACCTGTCAGTCCACCTCACGGCTGGAGCCGGCGGGGGCCGAGCCGGGCTCCCCGGCAGCCCTTCCCCGCTCAGGCCCGGGAGTCCGCGTGTCGGGCAGTCAGTCTGTCTTTCCGCCGCGCCGAGGTGGGTGCGGGAGGGCAACGCCCGGGCCGGGACTGGCGGGCCGGCGGGCGGGCACAGGGAGCGTGACCGCCCCGGAGCAGTCAAGCCCCCGATTTGAAATTAACCCGCTCCCGGCGCGAGCTGATCCCGCGGGCGGGGAGGGCCGCTCCCCTCCCCCACGCCCGCTCGTCCCGGCCCCGGACCTCGCGCGCCAATGCGAGCCTCCCGGCACCGGCCGCCGGCGAATCAGGGTGCTGGCGCCGCCCCCCGTCCCGCCCCCACAGCAGAGTTGGGGGAAAAGTTCAGCAACTTTTTTTCCTTTTTTTTTTTTTTTGCATACACCCCCTCCCCTTGCTCAAAGTTGAGGAATAAAATTTGGCACGCCCGGGGCTCGCGGGCTGGTGCGCGGGTGCCCTGTGATCCCCCAGCTTGGGGCTATCTCACCCCCTGCCCAGCCCCAGGTCCGCTCACCTGCCCTCGGGACCCCAGCCGGGACCATTCCCCCTCCCATCCTGGCATGCATTATCGTGTTGCCCACCGTCTGCCCCCTCGTTTTCAGAAATTGGTGTGAGCAGAGAGAAGCGTGGCTACCGGTGCCCAACCTCGATAGGCGCGGGGCCTTGGATCAGCGGTGAGAACTCAGGTGTAGGAGGAGGAGTGAAGTTGAAAACCCGCCAACGCTGTCCCAGGCGTCTTTCCTCTTGTGGTCTCCCACCGGCTCCTCCCTGTTGTCTTCCCTCGCTTTTCCCTCTTTTTCCGGTCTCCGATCCTCGGGCAGCTTTAGCCTAGTGTATTGCAGAGTCCCAGAGTAACAGCAGGGTTAGAAGACACTTTAATCCAACGTCCTTATTTGGCAGACAGGGAAACTGAGGCTCCGGGCGGCGGCGCTGCCTTGCCCGTGCCTGGATTGTTTGCACCGCTGTTGGCTTGCTCCGCTCTTCTCGGCTTTAAAACATTTCCCCTTTTCTGCGGACGGGTGCGGGGTTGCTGGACCGCACGTATTGCCCAACTGCGCCAAGATCTGGGCTCGCGGCTACCGACTGTTAAGTTTGGGCTCTTCCTCCTCCGTAATCTCGCGCCTTTAAACTGCAGCAAGGCCCGGGGCTACGCTCCCCCAGCCCCATCGCCTACTGGTGTACCTGTGACTCTCCCATTGCTGACTCGCAAAGCGAGACATTCTTCTTTGCTCCTGGGCCCGGTAAGGGCGGGGATGCTGTAATACTGAGGCCAGGGTCGCGGCGCTGCAGCCACCCGCCATAGGGCCGGGGGTCTCGGTGGCGAGCGATGGCTCATCTCCCGGTGGAACGCGACCCAGGGCGCGCAGAGTGGCCGCCCTGAACGGTTAGCGCCGTCGTGTCCCTGTCCTCCCCTCGTCTCCAGCTGAGCTTTAGGTATTGCTCAAGAACGTGCTTCGACCTGAAAGGTGCTGTGCAGAAGGGGTGGTCGCCTGTAGGTCCCAGATTTGAAATACAGCAGAGATCACGGGACAGTGTTCCACCGTCCATGGCACGGAGCGGCTGGCTCTTACTGAACCCAGATACACCTTTTCTGGAGCAAGGCGGGGCTCCAAGTGCATCAACAAAAGACGGGCAGTTGGTGCTTCTGCTTTAGCCACTAGCTGTTTGCCAGATTGTCGTCTCCCTCAAACTCCCAGCCACCAGTGCTTATAGGAGTGTCCCGGTTCCGCCCTGCCCAACATTCCCTAAGTGTTCACACCCAGGGAGTCCAGCGGGCCTTAAGTCCCCTTTAAAGGGACTCTTCAGAAGCAGTAGGTCTGATGCCCTTGTGTTCAGAGTTAGTGACTAATTCCCTCAAATCTGGGATCCATAGGGCCATTCATGCCGCAGGTGTCTGAGTGTCAAGTACCTGTAAGACAAATAATGCAGGGAGCAGCCACCTCGGGTGACACTTTACAGATGCCATCTCATTGCATAGTCAGCACAGGCAATAAAGCATGGGTTATTACTCAGCAGAGCATTTTAAAGTAACAAATCCAAGGGCTTCCTGTAAGAGGCAGGGCGGGGATTGGAAGCCAAGTCTGTTTAACTCCTCAGAGCTTTCCACTGACAGCCATGTTCACTGTGCTGGATGGGCGTCTTCCATTGCCTCACAGGATAGTTTTGCCCCATTTTCTAGAGAAGAACACTGAGACACAAAAGGTTTAAGTGATGGCCAAGTTAGCTGTAGAGCCAGAATTAGAGTCTAGATCTACCTGCTTTCAGTTCCTATACCCCATTCCACTGCCTCTGAAAGTTCCTACAAAAGCGTGTCAGTGTCACCTTGGGTCAGCCTTTAGCCATTTTAACCCTTCCCCCAACATAAAAAATAGAAAAGGTGAGAATGTAATTCTTGCTTAATAACAGTTGTCGTGTCTTATTGAAGCAAGTGAATTATAATCAAACTCACCGAGTATGTTGAAAAGTGGTTCTATTAAAAGTGAAGTGACACATTATAGTTTTGAAGTCTTGACAACCCTTTTGTGTAAAGGTAATGAGAAAAGAAAGCAAGCTGAAATAATTCTATCCAACACTACATAGAGTGTCAAATTGAAATTCAGCATAACTGTAAAGGAAAGATATAAGGCAATTGAAAACTTTTATAGATTATTGCACAACCAAGAAGGAAGGATCAGGGAACAAGCTTGAAATCTTTTTCATTTTGCCTTCGAAGGTGTTTTCCAGTTATTAGTTACATAATCCAAGGGAATATTTGTGTTTCTTTCTGATCTGTTTTTCACCATGTTGTGTAATCTGTGTCTCACTGAAGTTAGACCAGTTTTTCTACTCCGTGCTGCCACCCTTGTGGATTGCACAACTCAGGGGGCTGATGTGTTGTGTAACACGTTCAGCAAGAAATAAGGCATTATGAAAAAAGATATCAAAAGTAAGGGAGAAAGATAGATGTCATCTGAAGGGCCTAGATTCAAAGGTAACATTTGGGATTTCTGAGGCATGTCCCTTTCATCATTACTACAGTGTCACACACTGGGTGTGAAAAGAGCAGGCAGGACCTTCCTCGCTGACCATGGGAGGGTGAGGGGCTCAGGAAGGAGTTGTTCTAGCTAACGGGTTCCTAGACCTTTTCTGTCTCTCCCTTACCGCCCCCTCCTCCCCTTGTATCACCAGCTTTACTTCCTGACCTGGTGGGGCAATTTGGGTTTGTGCTTTTTGTGCAGCACGTGGTGGCGGTGTGGTACTGCCACCACAAAAACAGCTGTCTAGAGCTTTAAATTGCACAAATCCCCATTTGCTGGGTTGGATCACAGCTGCTCACAACCAGATCTGAGCTCTCCCTGATCCCTTTAACAAGTTGGTTACTCTGCCTGCAAATGAGGCGTGCTGGGTCAATCTGGGTCGGGTTAAAGAGGATGGATACGGACAAGGGCCCCAGGAAGTGGGAGACCCGGGAACTGGCTTGTGCTGACTGCAGAGCTAGACATGGTCAGAGCTTGTCCCGGCAGCAGCAGGGCTGTGTAAAATAACCTCAGTCTCTCCTGTGGGGAACTCCCAGTGAGCCCTATATAGATATTTGCAGCCCTGGACTCAGCTGCAGCAGCAACACTTGCTGCCATTTATTGAGCAATTACTGCTTCTAAATTTTTAAAATACTTTGGGGATAATAGAACACAAAATATTGAGGGCCCTCTTCACTGGAGTCTGAGTTCTGTCCTCATTGTATTATTGCACATATAATTTTAAAATTGGTGTAACATCATGTAATCTAGTACTTATCAGTAAGTTGGAAGAACCCACTTTTCCTGGTTCTAGGGCATTAAAGAAGTATATATAAAGATTTCTGCGAGTAGGGGCAGGAATTTATTTACTTAAAAAATGTAGGAGGCTGGGCACGGTGGCTCATGTCTGTAATCCCAGCACTCTGGGAGGTCAAGGCAGGAGGATTGCTGGAGCTCAGAAGTTTGAGACCAGCCTGAGCAAGGGTGACACTTTGTCTCTACAAAAAAATGGAAAACTTAGCCAGGTATGGTGGTGCTGCCTGTAGTCCCAGCTACTTGGGAGGCTGAGACAGGAGGATTGCTTGAGCCCAGGAGTTGCAGTGACTCTGTTGCCAAAAAAAAAAAAAGAGCAAGAATCCCATAACCTCCTTGATCAGTGATTCCTGCTTTTTGCTTAAAGCTGGTAGAGAAAGGTATCTGTGCTGATCCCCTCCAGGTAAAGTCATCTCATTCTGTTCCTGATCACAACCCTGAATAGTGCCCAGCAACACCACTCTGAGCTTCTCGAGGGTGGAGAGAGGGACTTCCTCATCTTTCAGCCTTCCTAGTGCCCAACCAATGCCTGGCCCAGACCTTGATTCATGTTGGTTAACTGAGTAAAATTCTACTCTAGAAGGTTATTCCACTAAGCCCAGAAGATACCTTGTCTTTTAGTCTCTTTATCTTCAGTACTAAGTCTAATGCTGGACACATACATGGTGCTTTGTAATGTTAGACAAATCAGGTCATTATTACCACCCCCTTTAAAATGTCAGGTTTTTTTGTTTTTGTTTAACTTTATCTAGATGCTTCTGTTTTATTTATTCACTCAATTAAAAATCGTATACTGAATACTTACCATGCTCCCAAACCCTGAATTAGGTGTTGGATGTATCAAGTGAGTGAAAGAGACAAAGTCCTTGCCCTTTTGGAATTTACAGTCAAGCAGTAGGAAACGTCTGGCACAAAGTGTTAGCTGTTGTTACTATTATCTGATTATTTTCCTCTAAGTATGAGACTTCTCAGCCACTCCTCAATCCAACAAACATGCCTTTTTCCTATGTCCTCTATAGCCCTGTAAAAATGTTTCTGTAGATATTTTTCTTCCCTGGGAACCCAACATCTGTTATCTTCTTGCAGCCCATACATATGGGTCACTGCTTGGGCCTAGGCACCAGCTATAGGACACGGGGCTGCCCTTGGGATCCCAACAACAAAGCCAACTTTTCACTTACTCTTTCCTTTCTCTTGCAGAGATGTGGACTGCATTTGGCCAAATTGTCTGCTTTTCTGAGTCTTCAAGACTGCTGCTTTGGAGTCACTGGAGGCAGCTCTGTTTATCCCAGAATGATCACTGAAGTCAGCATAAGTGGGTCCGTTAGGCCTCAGCAGGGTTTCAGCCATCCTGGAGTCAGGCACTGGGAACAGAACAGGCCAGTGATCAGCTGTGTCCATCTTGGGCATCCCCCCCATAAGGTTCTAGGCAGTCGCCAAGTGCTCTAACAACGTACATCTTCCTGAAACCTGAACAGATTTCTTCCAATTCCTTGGCGCTTGTGAATACTCCTTAAAGTGACAGTTTTCTGATCTGATTTGACCTAATGTGCCCTACAATACCTAGATATATTATGCTGGAGGTTTAACTGCTCACTGTACTGCTTTATCATACAATACAGAGACCAACATAAGTTGTTGACAAAAATTTAAGATCTTCCAAAAGAAGTAGATAGCTCTCTTCTCAGCCTTAGTTGAAAATCTTCAATAAAAGCTCACAGCGTTTATCAAGATGGAAATTGGTTGGAATAAATTAATGCACTTGTGATTGTGGATATTAATGAATTGCATTTGAATTTGCCCACAAAACAGATAGTTCTCTATGTGTTTTTAAAATAGTGCTAAACTTTGTTACAAGTTCAGTCTTTGAAAAATCTATAATTGTTTTAAAATTGATTTGAAGAATATAAAATGGCATTATATTTTTATTAATAAAGAGCAAGATGTTTGTTAACTGAAATTTTTGGATGCCAGTTACCTTGACATCTTTGTGATAATAGTGTCATATCTGTGTCATATGGGAGATGGTTGCTTTTAGAGAAACTCAAGGTTCGGAGAATAGAGGGACATCTTCTAGTCAGTCATCCTTCCTTGACATAGGCTAGGATGTGGGTAAAAGTTAGGACTCCGGAGTGAAACAGGCCTTGGTTGGTTCAAAGCCCATCTCATGATTATAGCTGTGTGGCCTTTGGCAAATTACTTAACCTCTCTGAACCTCACTTTGCCCTTTCCTCACTAAAATGGGAAATAACATATGCTTTGAAGGGTTGTCATGAGGATTAGATGAGATAATGGATGAAAAGTGCTTAGCACAATGTTTAGCACATGGCAAGTACTCAATACTAGTTATTATAATAATATATTATATATAATATAATCCAAACCAATCCAGACAAATGTGTATATGTTTTTGCTTTTCTTTTTTTTTTGAGACAGAGTCTCACTCTGTTGCCTTGGCTAGAGTGCCGTGGTATCAGCCTAGCTCACAGCAACCTCAAACTCCTGGGCTCAAGCGATCCTTCTGCCTCAGTCTCCCAAGTAGCTGGGACTACAGGCATGTGCCACCATGCCCAGCTAGTTTTTTCCTCTATATTTAGTTGGCCAATTAATTTATTTCTGTTTTTAGTAGAGACAGGGTCTTGCTCTTGCTCAGGCTGGCTGGCTTCGAACTCCTGACCTTGAACGATCCACCCGCCTCGGCCTCCCAGGGTGCTAGGATTACAGGCGTGAGCCACTGTGCCCGGCCTTATTTTTGCTTGTCTTAATCACTCTGCAGAAATTCCCAGTAGCCAGATTGTGCCTGTAAGAACCCTGGGCCAGGAAATTGTTTCTTCTAATCAGCTGAATCCGTGTCCTCCATTTTGCCCCCGCCCCTCCCCCTGCCCCATTCCCGACTGCAGGTGCAGCTGTGTCCTGCACTCAATTGTGGAGGGAACATCCAATGTCTTTGGAATTCTTAAAACTAGAGGTCTGATTTGTCTTGTTTTTTTAAGGACTTAATTTCTAGAAATACTTGAGAAAGATATTTTGAAGAGGAAAAATACTTCAAGATAGCATGCTCCTATCTTTTATTAGAATTAGTAAATGCATCATCATTTGTCTAATTTATTGAGTTTATTAGTAAATATCACTTCTCCTATGCTTTGCTGTCCTATCTCTTGCTCCCAGCACACAGACATCTCAATTCTCTAATCACCGGCCTGGGCATAGAATTGGATTCGGTTAATACTTGCCAACTGGCTTAGAATCTGAAGACTCCAGCTCTAGCCTCAACTTGGTACCTACTAGCTCTGTGACTTTGGGTAAGCTATTTACCACTCTGAGCCTCAGTTTCCTCCTCTGTGAAATGGGCTGGTAACATCTGTGGCATAAGGACTTCATAGATGGTGTGGGACCAACTGAGGCAGCATATATAAAAACATTGTTTGAAAATGTTAATTGCTATTTGATTATAAGGAAATAGTCTTATTACTATGATCAAATCTCTTGCTAGCTCATTGGTTTCCACAATAGGAGCTGCTACTCACTGTGTGATCTTAGACATTCAACTCCTCTGAGCTGCAGTTGTCTCCCTGTGACATGGGGAGAGGAGCCTTTTTACTTAAATGTCCCAACATCGTACAATTCTGCACTGGTGCTGAGCTTTTCTTGAAAACTGGGAAAAGCACAGGCTTTGAAGTCTGACAGGCTGGGGTCAAACCCCTACTTCTCAGCTTGCTCTCTTTCTGTCTCTCTGGACCCTTAACAGATTGTCTCAGAGGGTTCAGGGTGTTTCTGAAAAATAACAGTAGTTTGGCTGAAGGACAATTTTGTCTACAGTAAGATGTCAGCTATGGCAGAAAATAGATGAGGCTAGGATTCAGGTTTATGATTTCCAAACTCCAGTGGCCCATTTGGTAGAACCAGTTTGCTTTTGTGTGTTGATTTTTTGTTGACTAAATAACAGTGCTGCAAGAGCTGGGATGGTTTATTAGTCCCCTTGGGTGGGCTCTGCTGCTCTCAAGGTGTGAATGAGGCATTTCAGACAGGCCTGGCCCAGTGGTGAGCAGCTGTGTCAATAGGCCTTTGAAGTCCACACAGCAGCTGACTGGTCAGCAGCGCCTGGGAAATTGGGAAAGGCAAGTGGAAGTGAGGATTGCCGGAGAGGCAGGAGAAGAAAAATGATGGGGTCCTGGGTGGAAACGTGAGAGAAATTTAGCCAAATGCACAGGCTGATTCCAGCAGCAGGGTCTGGGGTTGTTGCTCACTGGTCTCCCTCCTTCTGGATTTCTGGCTCCAAATCAACACAGGGAGCTGGTTTAACTTTGTTCTGACCTGAGAATGTGCCATCCAGCACTTCTGTGGGGCTTTCGCATAGTGACAGTATGCTCACAGTTCTGCAAGATCCGTGAAGAGCATCTGAACCAACAAAACATGAATAAACCATGTTCAGGAGAATATGTGTGCAAAGTATTAAATTTTTATTTGTTTATTTTTGAGGAATATTCTACATCTTGGGGCACTGGTTTTCTTTTCTTTTTTTTAGAGGCACAGTCTTGCTCTGTCACCTGGGCTGGAGTGCAGTGGCGTTATCATAGCTCATGGCAGCCTCAAACTCCTGAGCTCCAGTGATCCTCGTGCCTCAGTCTCCTGAGCAACTGGGACTACAAGTGTGTACCACCATGCTAATTTTTTCATGTTTTGTAGAGATGGGGTCTCACTGTGTTGCCCAGGCTGGTCTTGAACGCCGTGCCTCAAGCGATCCTCCTGCCTCAGCCCACCCAAGCGTTGGGATTACAGGTGTGAGCCACTGTGCCTGGCTGCTTTTCTTTGATCTAGGATTTTCTGAGAGTTCCCTATGTGGCGGGCACTGTGCGGGTGCCTTGCCATCACATGATCTCGTTTAATCTTCACAACATCCCTGAGAAGTATGTTGTTTTTATCTCTATTTTTCAAAGGAGTTTTAACCTCTGGGAGATTAAAACTTGCTGAAGGTGACACATCTAGCAGGGGACCCCTAGCTGTCGGACTGTCAAGCCTGTGCTTGAACTCCCACCCTATGCCACCTCCCACCCTGGAGGTCCTGTTTGCATAACATGCTGGGTAACTGGGAATCGGAATGTCTGGTTGACCAGCACACCCCCTTTTCTGTCCTTGCTACCCAAGTTGAAAACCTTACAGTCTCCCTGTTCTTGCTCTGCACATCTCCTCGGTCACTGAGTCTTGTCAATTTGGCCCAGTGTCCCTTGCCTCCCTGCCTTTTTCATTCTTACCCTTGTCACCATACACTGGGGCCATTGCAGCAGTCTCCAGCTTCCTTTGTCACCAGTCTTTTCCTTTTCCACCCTTTCTGCTTACTGCCAGCTCCATCTTCCTTTAGCACTCCTTCATCCTAACACATTTCATTTAAAACATCCCACGGACGCACAGGAGAAAGTCAGACTCGGGGCTTGGCAGCAAACTCCAGCCTTGCCCATCACTCCCTGCAATAACTTGATGTTGCTGTGGGTTTTCTGACTTTGGCATCTTTGCTCACGAGGTATCCTCTGCCTAGAGTGTTAGACACCTTCCCACCTAACCTTTCCTCTGTTAAAAATCTCATCGTGGTCCAGCTGAAGTGGCCTGTCTTCAATGATGCTTTCCCAAGTCACCTTGCAGGAATGATCCCCCCTGAAGCATTTTGAAACACTGAAACAGTACATCTCACATGTTGCTTCATTGTAATTATTTGTGTGCCAGCATTTCCTCCCTATATCCCAATGTGACCATGGAACCTGTGTGTGTGTGTGTCCCTGACTGTGGGTGTTAGCAATAGTGCCTTACATGCAGTGCGCCCTTACTTTGTTGAATGAGTAAACTAATGAACAGGGAAAAACAAATAGTAAGAAATGAGTCATTTATTGGGTGTTTACTATGCGCCAGACCGTGTTCTTAGTGCTATTCTTTGTGCTATTCCTTTAATCTTTGCAACAACCCTGAGAGGTAGGTGCTGTTATGCCTACAACAGAGAGATAAGGACACCAGGACACAGTGAGCTAAACTAACATGTCAAAGAATTAGTGATGGACCCAGGATTCAAATCCCAGCAGTCTGCCACCTGAACCTAGGCTCCCACTGTAGCTACCTTTCCAGGACCCTTTACCTGGACCTGGAAGGTCCTGGCAGGCTAATAGGTGCACTCCCATGAGAGCTACTTCATGGGCTGACGGATTTATCATCTGTACAGGTTTGAGAGGGTCTGAGAATGGTCAGGACCCAGCATTTCTTCTCTAAGCCAGTACATGAAGCCTTGCCCACCTCAGCAATGTGCATCGGGCACACTGGTGAGCCAATATAACCAGTTGCTGGGACTGAGGTTCCCCAGATGACAGGTGCTGTGTAAAAATGAAGCATGTTTTTCATGTCCAATAAAATGTGGTAAGTTTATTATGCAGTAGAGAGACTCTGGGCCCAGGACTCCTATAATACTCCACCTTTGGCATGAGATGATTACTTGGTTAATAATCCTAATCAGCCTGGTGCACATACCCTATGTTTATCACTCCTGTCTTATAATTAACTTTTATATTTTCCTCAACTTTACAACTCAATCTGTGCACCAGAGTGACTGCAAACCTATATTTATCTAATTTAGCAAACATTTGCATGCACTGCAATTAGACTCACATGTTGTGTGATCAACGTCCTTTGCTAATTGCATAATTCCTTTTGAGTTTAATCATGAGATGGCATCCTTCATTTTTTTTTTTTTTTTTTTTTGTCTACGTGTTTTGCTGTTGGTTGTGAGCTGCATGTGGAATTTCAGGCTGAGGCACCTGCAATCATAGAAATAAAGACATTCTAGAGACCACATCACGGGAGGAACTGTCTTCCTCCTTGACACGGGCAGAAACAGAGACCCAAGGAAGTTAAGGGACTCGCCTATCCAAATAGCTCATTATTAAGAGTTCCT